CAAGTCATTTCTGCAATGAACAAGGTAATATTATTATAGTATTACGTACATGCTGCTGCTGCAGCTGACGATGATGTAGTCATGTCTGAAAGCAGGAAAAAACAGTGAAATTCCTCCTGTTCGTAAATACTTTATTTATTACATTATGATTTATGATATTAAACATCACTTGTATATTTAAAAATGGTATTGTTTCTATGTGGCTGTATTTTTATTGTTTAAAAATAAAGGCTGCAACTTGTTTGCGCACATTTTATAATTTTTACCTGAAAAATAGGAACTCATTTGCGCACACGGTTATCCTAAATGTACAACTGGTTTGCGCACACGAAAATAAGGCTATATGACATAAGCGCCAAAGGTGCAAAAATGCAAGGCTGGGCAATAACGAGTTAAAAAGTTAAAGTTAAGTTAATAAGTTAATTTTATATTAACTTTTTAACTTAACTAGTTACTTTTGGCTTTTCATTAACTTAACTTTTAACTGTTAAAAATGACATATCATTTGCGCCAAAATAAATATTTTATATAAGTAGTTTTTCTAAATTGATATATCTTATAAAAATGATATTATATATGTATACTATATTATATTAATATTATTTTCTATAAATAGTTATTTGAAAATTGCTGTCTTATAAGAATATTTTTATATAGAATATTAGAATATAGAATATTTTCTATATTTTTGCTCTTTAAACAAAATACACACAACACCTTCATTCGTAACAATTTTTGTAAAATCCATTTTAACGAATGCTTACGAAATAGGTACTATAACAATATGTTACAACACAAAACTGCTCACACACAACTGTCTATGTGACAATCAGCTTATACATTTGTCGATTAAGATTAAACTTTTGAGTATGAACTTGGAGTATGAGTTTATGTACGATACACGATTTTGGCGCTTTTGTACGATACCACTTTTTTTTTCTTATCTCATTTTGGTGCTTATGTCTTCCACCGGAAAATAACTATATTTAGTAGGCAATGATAATCATCGATAAAGAGTACGGAAATGTTATTAAATTCCTTACAATCAGTACGTCTCGAGAACTTATAGTGTGCATACATAGAATTTATGACTCTAACCTATATTTACTGAACATGGATTTAGAAATTAGTGAAGTTTTATTATTTTATTATTCTTAAAATACAAACGGAATCAGATTTAAAAATAACATCAATCAACAAAAGTATAAATAATTATCGCCGTAAGGAGTCAATAGAATCAGTCGAACATCGCATAAGCTTATGGACAAAATATAGATCTGGCGAAATAGACCGAATGAAATACTTACAAATAATGGGAAACTGTTATTACGGAAAATAATAGTCACGTTTCCCAATCATATCGACTATAGATCTATATCACTATATTAAAATTAAAATTAACTCATTTTACACAAACATTATATTATATGCATTTTTAACATAATTTATTAACAATTATTATTAATAATAAGCAAGTATTAACATGCATTTTTAACCACACCTATGAATATATTCATAGACAGTCCTAAGTCTGTTAAGTGAGAAGGAAAATGTATGTAGGTACTTTAATAATTTACTTATTAAGTTGGTATTAAAAGGTTAGGCCATAAGGTAACTGTGCGCAAACCATGTGCATGTTTACGGCTCAACTGTTCCCAAACGAGTGGTAGTTTTGTGCCCAAAAAAGTTGTCTTTTTGGTATTTGTGCGTAAACCAGTACCGCCCAAAATAAATCGTTGTAGATTTTAAAGATAAGATTTTTATAAAAAAAAAACTAAGTTTTCTAAAATGTATGATAAATAACATTATTATCGTATTCTCAAACATTATTATTTTAGTTGAAAACTCTGTTTTACTAAATAGCTTACAAATTAAAAACAAATTAAAACTACTAAAATTTGTACATTATTTATCTAACGAAATATCTAACGTTTAAATATAACAAAAGACTGAATGTCAATGTTCATAGTTCAATTTTTAGAACAAATAATCGCTCAATTGCACAAGTGTGTACATTCCGTTGGTGATTTTTAATCTTAAGTTATCGATACTATTTTTAAATATAATATTATATTAGGCTTAGGCATACGATGTAGAATTCAAATATATACCTATATAATAAAATGTTTTACCTATAATAGCATTAGCATATTATTATTAATTTTTATTATAAATAGTAGTGAAATCTGAAATTTTAATCAATAATAAAATAAATTAAGATAGCTTATCGTATACGTTTTATTCGTCCATCAAAATGTTGTAGGGACAATGTATTCAATTTTTAAGCTTTTTAACCCAGTAAAAAAATGTTCTAAACAAAAAGTATTCTTGTTTTTTGAGAAATAAATAAATAAATAATAATAATAAAATTCAAATAAAACAATTATCTATATATATATAGCACAAAAGAGCCAAAATATTTTAAAATGTACCTACATCGTGTCTAAGAAAATGACAATATAAGTATTATTTAAACTTTTAAGTCTTCGATTGTCACTTTCTGAATTACAACAAAATCAAAATTGATTTGTTCGAAACTTCTGCAGTTGTTGCAGTGGCGTGCAATATATATAGCTGGGGTACAAGTGTTGCTCACGTGGTCAGGCAACATTTGGGCAACATCTTAATGTGGGTGAGTGGGTACTGATAGAAGAAAAATAGAACATTTTATAGGCTGTGTAACAATAATTTGAGGAGTAGATCACGTACAATTATTTGAGCAACACCAATTTTTTTTATGATACACGCCGCACTGGAGTGTTGAGTAAATATTCCTGTTATTCTGCTGTCTTTTGTTAGTTTTTCCAAATTACTTAAAAATTAAAAATTAATATTATTCATTTTCTATCAATTTCTTAGTTCGTCTTCCCCCTTCTGAACTAAAACAACATCAAAAATTCTACCAGAAATCACCCTATAAGTTATTGCAGTAAAACGTATTCATTGCCTATAGCTCCGCTAAGAATTCAAAAATATAGTGGGATTATATTTTCTTCGTAATATTTATAAATACGAATGTACCTTCTTACTTTTAACTGTATAAAGTAAGTAGACGTATTTGACAGTTGCGAAATTCTCTACAAATACAATCGTCATTCTTACTTCTTTATAGGTTACACATTTAGGCGGTGTATCATTGTTTTTGCATGTTTAGTAGTAGGTATCTAGCTATCTAGGTTACAAGTTATAATTATAATATGATGATAGGTATACCTACTGCAGAATTCAAGTCTAAATCTGTTTAGAATTACGATATTTAAAACAGTTTAAAGCTTTAGCTTAACAGTTTTTATTCTGATTCACCAATATGCCCATCAGGTTTTCGTACTTTCTCGTAACTTTTTCGAAATAATAGCTATGGCATATTACAAGGTTCGCAGAATGCAGTGCACAAAAAGTAATTGAACTATACTGATAAAAAGTAATAATGTCCTATGGAGTTGGTCCTATAGGTACGAGAGCGATGATGATAATAATATATTATTGGTAACTACCTCACGTTATACGTTTATATGTATACCACTGTAGCGGTACTCCACAATATAATGTATAGGTACACACGATTTACAGCCTAGGTATACCTATATTATATAGGCATTATACATAATATAGGTTACATAGTAATGTCCTATGATGTGGTACTCGTATTCCGAGAAACGTGCAGCAGTAACCTGTATAAGACGTGTACACCGGGCCGTTGAATGTTTTTTTTTCTCCCCGGTCGATCCTGCGCAGTCATTCGAACGAATTACACATTTACACCACACACGCACATATATATACATTTAACACACATACATACATATATTATACGATGATGCGTGCGTAATTGTTTTAATAGGTATATACCTTCTCAGTTCTTATATATATATACAGTGCACACACTACACACACACCCATTGTAATAATATCTACGTAGAAAAAAAGGGGTTGCCGTATGACATAATAATAAATGCGCATATTATATTGCATTTAATAGAAGAAAAAAACATCGAAGCTCTTATGTAACGCAAATCGAGAGCATATTATAGACATTTATCATAATAGGTATATAATAATATAATAATATGTAAGTGTAACATCGCCGCACGTCTTCCGTACACCGCCCGGAATGGTGTAAATAAATTATGATGTTCGAATTGTTGAGAAATATTATGACAGGTAGAGAAGTGTATTTCTATGGACACAAAAAATAATAAATAAAAATAGGTTACCCCGCGGACACGTCAATAATCTTACAGTGAAAAACGCAGTTAGGTCAGTATATAGTCAGGTTAGGGTAACACATTTCCTAAAAATAAATTATACAATGTATATTGTTTAAAGGAAATAATGATAAACGTTTTGAAAAGATATAAATGAATATATAGATATAGTGACTTCCAAACTCGTGCGTGGTGGAGGGAATTAAGACCCCCTTGGCATTTTCTATTCCATACACGACGTATAAATGTAAAAATGCAATAGTTTTTTAAAAAAAAAGTTGATATATTTAAACATATAATTTATATATGTAACCCCCCATCCCCCCATCCCCCTATTGAAAATATCTGTGTTAGCACTGAGCTGAACCACAACTGAAATTACGAAGTCGAGCGGTGTAAAACCGAAGTGATACGAGTGTACGACTAGAAAAAGAAATACGAAAAGTACAGGTGAAATATAAACCAAGTACGCGGCGGGGATCACCTGTTCGGCAGGAGACGCGTGAGCAGCAGGTTGGAGCCGATACACGACGTTTTTAGTATATTATTTTTTTTTTTTTTTTTATATTTTTTGCGGCGGCGGCGGCTTTACCGTTATCACGGAGAAAACGCGTTGCCATCGGTGTCGATGGGGAGGGGGGACGGGGACGGGGAAAATTCGCGTCCTTGATGTGGCTACACGTCGCCGCCGCCGCCGCAACAACAGCAGCTCCAGCGTGCGTGGACGACGGGTGGAACATAGGCGGGCGGGCGGTCTGCGTAAAATGGGAGTCGCGCGCCGCGCCAGTCATTCGGTCGAATCGGTCGTCGTCGTCGGTCGTCAACGACTCTAAACAAAAAAATTCCCGAGTCTTACATATTTTTTATCATTAATAATATCGTGTCGACGTCGTTACGTCTTCAACGCGGACACGTCACGCCGTCACTCCTCCTCCGCGTCGCTCGACACGCGAAGATTAATATTATAATATATTGTATTAACAATACAATAAAATAATATAGCCGACAACTGATGAGCGTTTGGGATCGTTCGACGGAAACGAGGGAAACGTATTTTATTGAAACCCAACTACCAGCGATTTATCGATAAAATAGAGAAAAAAAACCGTACGAGGTTCGCATCGCGAATTCGATCGGCCAATGCCGCCTAGTGTCGATCGCCGTCGTAGACTTCGCGGGAAAGTCGTGTCGCCGGCGATTGCGCGTGGCGGCGATAACGGGCGGTGATATACACGCGCACGCACCGAGTGGCGACTGCGACGACGGTGGCGGTTGTCGGTCGGTCGGTCGGACTGCGACGAAACGCGAAAATCCTCGCAGAGTTATCACGGCGATAACAGCACAGCAATAATATATATAGTCACTTACCTATATAAGTAATAAAATAAACAACGATAGCAATAATAATAATAATAATAATAATATTATGATCTCATCGCTGTAGAATCATCGGAGTATTAACTACTAGCAACACCGCGCCGCGATCACCTTCCGGGAACGCACGTAGGTAGTCTTTCGCGTGCTCGTTCGTTCGGTCGACGTCATGACGACGTGCCATCGCCACCGCCGCCGATGCGATAGATGAAAAACGCCATCGGCCGTTGCGTTTCAACACAGCAGCCGACCTCCAGACATGGGTAAGTGCTGATGACATTTCGTCCGTTGTTTGCTTGTTCGTTCGTCTGTGCGTCTGTACTTGTTAATCGTCAGCCGATTATAACTGCTATCGTGCCATGTTTACCTATCTGTTTGTTTCGTGTGCACAGAAGCCGTGGTCCAATTCGATTACGCGCCCAGCGAACCCGACGAGTTGACGTTGAAGAAAGGGGACGTCATCACCGATGTCAAGCCCATGCCCGACGGATGGATGGAAGGACACAAGGACGGCAAGAAAGGAATGTTTCCCGACACCTACGTTAAGGTGAGTACGATTCTAACTATTCATTGGCTGTAACCCGAAACCCTCATCAATTTAATAAAATTTAATATTTGTGTCGTTACTGTACCAATAGATTGTTCATACTTCGGCCGGCGTCGTTTTGAGAAAAAGTGAGTGATTCCATTTTATAAAAATGGTTTGGTCTTATTTGTCATTTTTTTTTTTTTATCAAAAATGTCTTATCTTTAGAAAATGCTAGAAAGTGTAAAGTGTTGTTCAGTTACAAACCAGCAAACAGAGACGAGTTGGAGTTGAACATAGACGATGTAATTGAGGTTCTTGGCGAGGTCGAGGAAGGTTGGTGGAAAGGAGAGCTTAGGAATGAAGTGAGTACTGATTTCATTATACACAAAATATTAATAACATTTTTACATTTAAATACTTAAGTATTTTATCTTTATCCAACCTTAAATATATGTTGACCTCATTATCTCCATTTATTCTACACCTTATTAAATTCTTCAATAATTATTTTTTTTCTCATAAAATCCTCTCAAAAATCTTTAATTCCTTAACTAACTTCACAAAAAAAATCTAAATTTTTGGTTGATATTATAATCTATTGAATGATTTGATGTTTTTGATGTTTTTACAATACAGTTATCACCAATTTGATTGTTTTGTAGATATTTAAATACCATTTCTTATTTTTACCTGTTCTTCTGATACTAATTTTGTTAGATGTTATTGTGTAAGTAATACACATTGTCCTAATACAGTTTAAATGTTATAAGCATTAACAAGTGATAATTTGTTTTAAAATTAAATAATTAACTGTGTCAAACATTATGTAAACTTTGATCTTTAAAAAATAATATAGGTAAATTTAATATTTTCAATGAACATCAATTTTGTTTAACAATTTGTCTTTTTTGTATTATTAAATATTATGATTTTTAAATTATGCTCAACTTAGTATTTACCATTTTAAAGTTCCACATTTCATGATAATAATAGGTAAGCACTAATATTATTTGACAGTACACAAACTCAACTTTTTGAATTTGTCTATGACCAAATTACTCATATTGTAACTCAGTTCTATACAGCAAATTAATTCACATTGATTGCATGTGAATAAATGAATAAATTGTTTCTTTATTGTCTTGGTAAATTAGTTTGACAGAATAATGGTGCTTTCTTTTCATTTAATTGTTGATTAATAAATCAGTGGATTTTTTTATTGAATTGTTTTAATTACCAATTATTACTTTCATTCTAAAATATTCAGACGGCTAGAATACTATTTGATTAATAATAATATTATCGAAACACTCATTTATCTACTACAATAAAGAAAACGACAGTATTTTTATTGCACAAATACCTACTTAATGATTAATATTTAAATAAATGATTATTTAGAAGGTTAAACTGACATTTATGTTCTTATTATTAAACTTGAATGGCCGTAGATAATAAGAGTTTTATTTTTTTTACTTACCTTAATTATTAAAATACATTTCTCAATAAACTGGTGTTAATAGTGAATATTACTATCCCTGAAAAAATGTTTTATTTTTTAATTTAAATTATTAAAAAACAACTGTGTATGCTTTAGTATTAAGTATTAGAATTGTCAAAACTTAAATTATTTTAAATTCATCAGTTTATAAAATACAAGAAAATAAAATAAATTATTTTCATATTACAACAGTTTTAATCTGTAAATACTAAATATTTTATATTGTTTGATTGCAATTTAAATTGAATAGGTGTAAATTTAAAGTTGAAAAATAAATTGTATTTATCCTCTCTAAATTTTGGTTTTACTCTTACAGACATAAAAATGTTCAAGTACCTTAATTAATTGTGTGTAGTATATATATTTATTTTTTTCTTAAATGAGCATTATACCATAACTTATAATATTTTGTCATGTGTTACTTTTTTCTTTAAAAGTAACAGATAAACAATTTAAATGTTTATATGTTTACATATTTCAGTTAAAATATCTTAACATGTTTGAAAAACTTAATATTTTTACTAGACTAAAATGTTATGCTCATATAAAGTTTCTGACCCAATTAAAGAAACTTAAGTTTTTATTTTTAATTATTTGTTTAGGCACTGTTCAAGTTGAATAGTTGAATACTTAGAAAACTATTTGTATGTGAAAGTCTATAAAATAATTTCTTTAGACATCATTTTAACAGTTTTCCATTTTAAAATCTTTGATAATTTTTTTAAAGTATTTAAAAACAAAAATTGTATTATTGTTTAGTTCTTACACAATTATTATTTGTAATGCATTTATTACTGACCATCTGATATTATTAATAAATGTGTACACCTATTTCTTATTTTTAAATTAAGATTGGTGTATTTCCATCCAACTATGTCACTGAAATATCAGATGTTAAGAGTATTAGTAGAAGCGACTCCAAAACTTCAACTGGATCCCTCAAGAAGGAAGAAAGCATCAAGAAAGGTAATTTTTATTATTTTTAAGTATATAATCTGTGTAAAAATTAACAACTTCTATTTCAATTTTAAAAATATGACATAAATGTGTATTACATTTCAATAAAATTATTTTTATTTAGAAAAATCTATTGTGGAACCAATCAAAACTGCTGATAATAATATTGAATCCAATGCTCCAGTTCTACCTCCAAAACCAGGTATAAACATTTAGTATCACATTGCTAAGTAAAGTTATTAATAAAAATAATTTTTTTTAATGTATTCAACGTATCAATTGAATACTCGTGTAGTACTATAATAAATTGGATTTAGTAAATAAACTACTATTTTACACCAACACAAACTGATAAAAGGATATGACTGCAATACTGATTATTAGTAATCACTTGAAAGATAAACCGTATTTCAATATGTTAAGTTTTAATTATATTATTTTAGTGATATTTCAGACCTCAGTTATTCCTGACATTAACAGCAATTATGATAATGAGAAATGATACTTTTCAAAGTATACCTAATAATTTTTCTTTTTAGATTCTATCATATTATTTTTTTTTCTAATTTTCGTTACGCACTTTAAAAGTTGTCCATAAGTTATGAAATCAATCAAACAGAGATTGTCTCACTTATTTCATTGTAAGCGTTTTTAATATTTTAATCCTAAATGAGCATTTGATGACATTTTATTTCAGTATTTAAAATAAATTTAATCTAATCATTGCAAATAATTTAAATACAATTAAATGTGTATTACTTTTTGACATTCTTAAATTACAGTTATCATCCAGTCATATTCAATTTATATGCACAATACAAATAATATTAATTTAAATGTTAAGCTAATTATTATTTCATGGGATGGGTAAATACAAATTTATCTCTTATTTTATCATTATTCTAATTTTATACAGCTAAAGAAGTATGTGTTGCACTCTTCCCTTACGAAGCTGTCAATAGTGATGAACTTTCACTGGCTGAAGGCGATATAGTTACTATTTTATCACGTGAAGTAGAAGACAAAGGCTGGTGGAAAGGAGAGCTCAAAGGAAGAATTGGTGTGTTTCCTGACAATTTTGTCCAAATTATGAATCAAGATGAGGTATTTTTTATTATTACTATAATTATTTTACCTATAGGCTATAATATTACAAATTACAATACATCGTGATCACACGTTTTTTAAATTTTTTTATTTGTTTTTTTTTTTACTTTTGTTTATTCAGTTGGCAACAAAATCCGAAAAAACAGTCAGTAGTCCACGTAGCGGCACAACGGCTTCACTGCGCAAAGTTTTTCAGAGCCAAATGGAGAATAAATCTTTGGGACCAGGGGTGAGCAAAAAACCAGCTTTGCCACCACCACCACCTACGACCAAAAAACCACCCACTGCCAAAAGTTCTTCCACGTCTTCCTTGTCAAAAACTATAAGTGGTATTAAATCCATGTTGAATTCTGAACAAAATAACACAGATAAGATGAAGCATATAACGTCTGAAATTGGTGATTCTAAACAATACGGCTCTATAGCTGTAAAACGTTCAGAGTCTGTGGGTTCCATGAAGAAATCGTCTGATTCGCCAGATGGCTCAAGTATGAGTAGATCAATATACCATGTTACACCAGAATCATCCCCTACTTCATTAGTGTTTACAAATGTATGTATTTTAATATAAACATACACATTGGCTGTATTATTTGCTAATTTATTGTTTAATGCATATTTTATTTTATTTAGCATGATAATAATTCTTCTGAGCCCAAGAGTCCTGATTTTGATCAAATAGAGAGAACTGCCATGCTTAGTCATCCAACAGCATCTCGTGCTAAGGCACCTAGAAGAAGGCCACCATCTGCAGCATTTAATGTATCCAGTGAGGATGATCCTGCATTGGATTCACCACCAACGAACGGAATACCCGGTGTGGATAAAGAGAAGGCTCCATGGGTTCAAGAGTTGAAGATGAATCAGGCAAAGAAATCATCAATTGCTAATTCTGTGATAGGTATGTTTCTTATAGTTATATATTTAACTTATATGATTTTACACTATTCATCTGTCTTTACAATTCAAAAAATATTGACTAAAATTAATATAGTTTTAGATTCTGAGCAAAGCAATGAATGTATTGATCTTACAATGGTGTATGTGTGTTGTTTTTTGTTTTTTTTGTGTGTCTGTCTTCACTTTTTGGAGTAGTTAAAATGCTTCAGTTTTCTTTAACAAAATCTTTTCTGGTTATTAAGTTGGTACTTTGAGTGGTCTAAAGTTAAAACTGAAGAAAAACTGTGATTTTTACGCAAAACCAGTTTTTGAGAATAATGATTTTGTCATTTAGTGCAACACTAAAAAATAATAGTAGATACATGCAATGTTCACATAATGCATTAGCATTTTCTATGCACCACAAAATCTTGTATACAGTCTCCGATTAGATTTGTTTTTCGTATACAATTATTGAATTCAAATTTAACACAACCATTACAGCGACTCTAGACACCTAATATACAGCAAAGCTTTACCTACTTACCTGCTTTGTTTTCAATATAATATTTTTAAATTAGGTGGTGGTAGAACACGAGTGATGATCAATCCATCTACAACCACCATAACATCAGAGAGTTCAGAAACCACAACAGTTACATCCAGATCAGGTTTGACTTCAGTGGGCTTAGGTGGTGTTGTTTTTAAACCTCCTGGTTACGTGCCACCTCTAACCACACCCGAACCGGTCACAGTTAGCACACCAACCAGTCCTGTTACACCTATGTCAGCCGATTTTAGTTTGTCGACACCATTAGTAGATGGAAATCTAATAGCAGTGTTAAATGAAAAGGTAATTAATGCATTTGAGAGTGTAAATGTTTTACTTTTTATTTTATTTCAAATCGTCTAACTTGCGGTTATTAGGTGAAACAATTGGAGTCTACCGTTCAACTGCAAAACAGTTTACTTGATAAGTTGTCGACAAAGTTGGAAGTGGAAACGGAAAAGCGTATGGATATTGAGAAAGAAATAAAAAAGATTATGGAACTCGTAACAAGAGTTTGACTTGGACAACAGTATTTTTGTATAAATTAATAGTTATAATAATGAAAAGATAATCAAACAAGTACTTAAGACCATTACCAATTTGTTGCTTATAATTTATTTATTTCACGAGTAGCCATGCATTGAATATCATGATTACGTTAATTGTTCATTTTTAATCAATTAGTATCGATAATTGAAATTTATTCCAAAAGTCAAATCCAGAACTCTAATCCTGATTCTGTATTCTATCTCATTGGAAAAATTAGTACTGATTATTATCTTTTGTGATTACCAATACACATGTCCCTTGCACATTATATATATTTTTGTTTTATTCTTCTAGTCTTTAGAGTCAAATTGTTCATCATCTTCATTAATATTTTTAATTAAGTATTATTATTATTATTATTATTATTGTATTCTAATCATTCCTTGAATTTTTTAGTTCATTTTGAACACCAAATGTGATAAACAGTGGCATTCCTGACAGTAAATTATCAATTCAGTTTTCACACTATTACCTCTAACTTCTTAGTTCTCAATATAAACATTATTCAATTTTTCCTCTATTATAATATCTTGAAAGTAGCATATAGAGATAAGTTCAATTTTGAACTGTGTATCTGCCACCAGAGTTTATTTACAAAATAAATTTTTCAGTGATTTTTTTACATTCCTTAGAGTTACACACATTATTATTCATTATATATTCAAAAAAATGTACTTACCCAGAAATGTTTTTAGCAATAGTGTGCAATTAGTGTATTCTGTTGAGTTTCGTTATGTATATTTAGACTGCCAGGAATATGGGGTCTATGGTGTTTGAAAATCAATGTATGAAAAAGTTAATGTTGTTAATCGGATGTTCATTTGTAATTTTATGTGACTTGCAAATTGATATCCATTTACATACTCTATTATAATATAAATTATATTTTTTATATGTTTATTAATTAAATCCCTAGTCCAATTTTTATACCGCTAAATATTAAATGTGCTAAAAAATTATTCAGTCATGGCTAAACCGTTTACTACCATTATTATGATAGGCTCTTATTTTCAATTTTATATGAATTGTATTAATTTTTTAATAATTTTAATAGTTTTTATTTTATACTAATTTATTTTTAGAAAATATTTAGTTTAATATTCTTGTTCAACGAATTGTGTACATAAAATGTATTTGATTGTATTTTTTAAAGAAAAATTATATGCTTAAAAAATAGGCAAACGACTGATTTTGCACACAATATGCTCTACACGACATCATGTCATGTTTTACGAAATTAAAAATATTATGCATTCTCCCCTCACCCTAATTGACTGTCCCTCAAACGACCAGTAATATTTATTTAGTTAATTTTACAATGCATACCTATATTTTCATAAATAAAATCTTGTAATAGTGATTATTCAGATAAATAATTATGAACATTTTGTAAACATTATTTATCCGAAATATGAAATGTCTATGCCAATAACAATGTTATACGATTATATACCATTGATTATTATAAATATTTTTATCATAGAAAAATGTATCATTATTGAAATATTATTATTATTATTATTATTATTATTATTATTATTACTAACTATTGTAAGTTGTCCAACGGTGTCATATATATTTTATAAATTGTTAATTTTTATTTCCAATAAAAGTATTAAAAATATATTCATATGTAATTATATTATGGTTATTATAATATATAAACTCTTTTTTGATTTCCATTTTATCCATAATCACCAACCATATATAATATGGTTAACAAATGCCAAAAAAAATTTTTACATTTAAGAAATGCATATTTGACAAAAAAAATTACCATTAAGCTATCTGCCTAGTCTAGTTCATATATTTTTAAGATTTTTTTTGGTTCTAGTATGAATTTACGTCTTATGAGTTATGAGGAACTATGTGATTGTCAAACATAACAACTCTTATCGTATATAATTGAAAAAAACAACTAAAATAATAGAAAGTTTCTCGTGCCTAAAATAGTGCAAAAGGTCTAAAAATAATTACTGCAGATGCATAACATTTTCAGTGAATATTTAATGTTTATATTAGCATTTCTACACACCATGATATCTTCAAAATATTTTAAATTTTGACTCATATTGAGCTATGTATAGGCACATGAAATGTTTGATTATCATAAGTTTTTTTAAATAAATGACGATAAAAAAAATTTTGCTAGGAAATTTCGCTAAACTTGAAAATGTAATACATGGTTGATCGTAAGGTTTTGCTAGAGGAAATTAAAAAAAAGTCGAACGTAAATCCACAATCATTTTTTATGAGGTTCTAAAGTTCAAATGTTGACAAAATTCTTTTAAATCACGAACATTTTGCAAATTATTTTGATTAAGAAACTCATAAAAATTGTTGGCGTCCTATATTATGTACGATGTACCACTTCAGGCTTCTATTCTACATAATATTATCCTACATTATAATAATTCGAGTTATCCCGATAGGTACTGATGTAGGGATGTCCAATAATGTACAGTGACTGTACACTGTACACATTATACCTACTCTTTAGAAAACTTAAAAGTGGGTTGGTAGCCGGTAGGTAGGTAGGTACGTAGGTACGTATACAACGTACACAAGATAAATAATACATTTTTATTTTTATTTTTTGTGTCATTAGTTATCGCTCATCTACATATTTTTTCCGTCCGTCGATTTAACGGGATTTCGGTGATAATAAATTGGTAAACGTATCGATAAACCGGTTCGTGTAATCGTATATAATGGGTATAATATATATTATATATTTTATACTCGCATTAAATGTATAATAAAATAATAATATATTATAATGTGCTAAATATATAAACGGAAAAATATATAATATTGTAAACGATGATAATAATATTATTAATAAACATTTCGCTGGTCCGTCGGCGAGTATTATAATGTATACCTAGATAGGTCGTAGGTAGTGGGTACTTATACGAAACGAATAAAACGTGGGTAGGTAAACCTATGGAGATATATGTATATGTATACACCTCGGTGTTATGAATATATTTAGACGCATCGTGCATAGGTACCCGGTGCTTGACTTGTGGGAGGAGTTTTGAGTATCTCGACCAAATGTTCAGATATTATTTTAACGTACCTACTCCTACATGCATCTTGTCCAATACCCATCGGACGGTACATGGATACTATATATTTGTTTAGGATATAATATGTAAAAGGAAAAATATATTGCAAAGTTAAGTTTAATTTTAACAAAAAAACAATTGCGAGTACTTACTGCGAAAAATGTGGGCAAGACGTATTGACAGTGTCGGCTACTAGGCCTCGACAAGTCTTTTTTCGGATGAGGCTTTATCATAGTTGTTTAATTTGTACGAATTGAATAAGTAATTTCGTTAAAACAAAATAAGATCAGAACGGCAGCGAAATAAATCTCGTGTTGACTTTACTGAGAAATTATTGAAGGGGCACATTGACACTCTCCGTCTACAAGAACGACTCTGCATTCGTAATTCAGTTAATACTAGGTTACAGGGTAATTTTTATCCACCGATTTGTAGAACAAAGTTTGAGAAAAATTCCCCAACATCAAAAAAATTATGTCCACAGTAGCCAATAACAATTAATCATTCCTACCAAGACCAGATCAATTTTTCTTTGTAATTAATAATGTTATCATATTATTAATTTATTAATCTGATATTTCATGTATATATATCGTGCAAAAGCCTAATGGTACATTTTATTCGTATAAAAAAATAATAGTTCATGAAAATGAAGATAAATTACCAGTATAAAAACGGGTTGTAATAAATGAAGAGATTTATTGCATTTAATATTTATTGTGTTTTTGCTATATATCGAGTTACATTTTCAATTAATTTTGTTTTTTAACTTATTCATATAGCTTACAAATTTATATTGATTTTTCCATTTGCATAAGTGTCTTGTACTTAAATAGGTAAGAGAGTTTTTCCGAAAGTTTATACAATTTACAAGATTATAAAAGTAAAAGAATGACAAAAATAAAAACAGCACATTTGGGTGAATGATGATGGATGTAGAAAAACATATCGAACATTGCGGAGAAAAATGTACTGACTACTGACAAATGACAATATAGTCAACTCATTTTTGTTTTATTAAAGGATTACTAATAAAAAAAATAATATATAGAATTTAACAATTTACTTCTGTTTATTTAATTTTAGACAATATTACAATATTTTATTTTTATATTTTGTATATAACATAAAATAAAAATATAATTACTGTAGTGAAACTTCTTTGCGGAGGGTAAATAGATTATTGATAGTCCTAAGATCTATTGAAATAGGAAGTAAAATTTTAGTATAGTGCAAGTACTCACTAAAAAATATTAGGCACCCTACTAGCGTAATACCTGCGATTTGCTACTATATATAGTAGCCAGTAGGTATACTGATGTTAACATCAGCTACATAATATCATCGTAATCTTGGAATTGAACGATTTGAATTTATTTTTAAGAATGATACATAAATATATAAATATTCCCAAGACAAGAAAACTGTAAGCCATTTAAATATGATTACTGTTATATAAATTTGAATCAGACTTGGTATAGGTCATGTTGTTGATAATATTATTGATTATATGAATAGCAGTAGTACCTATTATACCTATAGAAAATATGATGTTTGTTTTTAATCAAAAAATAATATTAACCGAGGGTGATTGTATTAGGGAAATATAGGTAACAAAATATGTCTGGAAGAGGGGAAAATAAAGATATCATGTAATTTGCACCATCCTAAATGGTGTTTGTAATTTGCACCAAAAATGAGGGTAGGTATGTATGATTTGCACCGTTGCATAGTTGAAAAAAAGTGTTTGTAATTTACACCAAAACGATTATCTACATATGTGTTCGATTATTTCGTAGGTAACCCGTTGACGTCCAGACTCGCCGGACTCGAATGACAGTAAAAATTTTTCCAGATTTTTCGCTACCCACCGTGGTCTTGCGTACATCTGTTGGTAATCGTTATATTTTATAACTTATAAATTTATTAGGTTAAGGTAACCTTATAAATTTTAACCAATGTTACTACAAAATTTGACAATTGATATATGTCATAATAGCGACACAGTTTGACATTTATTCATTTTCAATGAAAATAAATGCATTTGAAGACACCCCAGTGCAATAAAAAAATATCTCCATATTTGGATCAAAATTGATTTTTGGTTGTATATTATTAAAAAAAATAACTGTGTCGTTTGGTGCAGCGACTAGTAGATCAACCCGATTGTTTAGTACCCACAAAGATGTATAAATTGAGATGTCTGGTTTTGATTTCAGTGCAACAATAAGACATCTCCGGAGAGTAAATTATTATTAGGTTGGTACATGAGTATAGTAGGCCCTATAGGTAGATACATCAGGAAGATATTATAATATTACGAATACAGAAAGCATTGACGAATGCATATTTATTATTATTTTTCCAAAAAAAAAAAAATGATTACAATTTACTAATAATAATATAATATAATATTACTATAAAAAAATAATGATTAGCACAGAAGTCTCTCAGTACTTGACATAATATAATGCAATAAAAAGCGAACACAAAGTTATAATTTATATAAATATACTGAAAAGACTCATCACGTGCACAATGCTAAGCAGCGCTTTAATAACACGAATGTGGCACATATTTTACAAACATATTGTGCAATAAATAATTTCGGGACTATATATTATATTATTATAGTTGATATAGTGATATTATATTATGTTATGGTAGTTTTAAAATATTATATTATATTAAGTATATACATAGACGTACAGATCATATAATGCATAATATACGTACTTACGGCGGCGCGCATACCTATATAATTACAGTCGATCGGTCCGTGACTATATATACTCATTTGCAGAAACGAAGGCTATATTGTGTTGTATTATTTTGCTCGTACCCATAAAAAGCAGACGAAAAAAAAATCCACGAAATCCTATAAT